AATTAACAGCATTTAGCGATATAAAACAGAACACGGGTCTGGTTTTTATCCTGTCTTTCAACTTTCGTCCCAACGCCCTTTCGTTGGTAAGATGGTGCTCCCTTTGTTAGAAAAATATTAAGCCCTCCAGTTATCTTCTAATGACAATGCTCGGTCCATTTTTGTGGGGTGTTCAAAATCTTGCAGATAAGATAAGCTCCGCATATCTCCATCTTGCAGTTGTCAAGATTGTGGTCACTCCAGATAAGATAAGAAATTTTCACACCCTAGTTTCGCCGTCAGTTGTTCTTTGCCACACAATTTTCTTCACAGTTACCGAGGAACCTTGATATAACGAAGGGGGATTACCAATACATGTTCGCTATAACGAGGTTTCATGGTATCGAGGTTCTTTTACATATATTTTGCTGTTACTGGGGCGAGGAAAACCGTTCGCCACACTGAGGACTTCGTTATATAGAGGCTCGTTAAATCGAGGTTCCACTGTATAAACCATCTGCTAAAGGCTCCACCACTTTGTAGACATTGCAGTAAAAAGCCTTCTACCATCCTAATTACAGGATTGAGAAACTCGGAGACCTAACAAGAACCTTAACTAGTTAACTATCCTTAACTGTGTACAACATCTGAACTCTTATCGTAACATGACAGACTGTCATTTTGAAATTGATGGATTAATCGATAATTTTACAGCCACAGGTCTATACAATGAAGTATATGTATATAAGTAGTAAATATGTAGGACTTGGGCATTCACACTGTAGCTCTGTCATGCAAGACAAACCAATGATGATCAGCAACGCACAACTTGATATTTTTTACGTGTTACATGTGGGTGATCAGTTATAGAAACAGACTTGAACTGACAGGCCTTATTAGCAGCTTGTTTTCACTCTACACAAAGGGATTATCACCTATTTTTTTATGTCTATGATAAACTGACGGATTAATCATAAATCTGCAATCTAATCATAGTCCTATTAAGATTAACCGTTATTTGATGATATTGCGATGATGCTGTATGATAAAACCAAATGCACAAAGAATGCATCACCTGGACATCCATGCAGTAACCATTTGCTTCATCAGTTTACATGACGTAATAAAGTTGTAGGTTGTATGGGTGTCGTTACCTACACGTTAGTCATTTCATCCAGGATAAAGCATACCTTAGGCGTGCCGTGATACTTCTAAGAAAACGAACTGACAGACACGACTAGCAGCCTATTTTCGTTCTAAAGGGATTATACTTCTTAAAACTAATGGATTAATCGGGCATATACAGCCACACATGATAAGATTATGAAGATATGGTCCTGTTAAGATAAACGGAACATAACTAAAGAATGTAAGTGAACATCCCAAAAGCTTTTTACGAAAACTGAGACAATTCTCGCGGGCTCATCAGTCCAGATCTATATTCCATGAGAGTATTGAATATGAAAATAACTTAACCTGAAACGCAGCACCAAGATCCTATTCAAAAATGACTGCCAATTTAAAATTGTTTTGCAGGCATTTCAATCAACCCAGCTAACCTCGTTTGAGAGTAAAAATTCTTTTGAATTATCAACTCAAAAACGAGGTTAGTTGGGCTAATTTTAATACTTACAAAATAATTTTTAATTGACAGTCATTTGTGAATAGAGTCTATGCAACTGTCGAAGATGCAAGTAAATTGTCGAATATTTTCCAATAATCCGAGACCCTCCAGTTGTGGAAATAGCAATTTTGGGCTCGACATCTTAACAAGTTACCACATTGTGTTTATTTATTCGAGAGGAATGCATGAGACTGCTTGTTGTAGGTGATCAAAGGCAACCTCAAAGTAAAGTGCAATGACTGCTAAAGATAATAAATCAAACCTGTATGTCTGGGTGAAACCACTTTAAGTTTTAACATCTGTGGCACTCTGTTAATCTTATCCTCCCTCCCTGAGAAAAAAGTGCAGACGGTAACTGCAACACGTTATGCATTCGGCCTTACGCAAGCACGTTCAACAACATTTTCTGTGAACAAGTCTATGCATAAATTAAATCATTTTAGATGTTTCCATTCGACCTCTTACCAGTATTGTGTTTTGAATTCTCTCACTGAGATAAGGTCAGGCTTGGCATCCAGGGATATCCTAATGCATGCATGGGAAACCGTTTCTCTTGCTTGATCCCAAAGACCCTCGTTCAAAATACTTGACCATTATTTAGTTGTCGTCATCTTTCTTTCCTTTTTTACAGGGCAGGGAACAGTCCCGAGAAAAGCCAGGCAGATTGAAGAGGAATTCGCTATCCCAGGTTTTAATATTTCTGTCTTGCAGTCTGCGGGATGTTTTAGACGACATTTACTTTATCATTTTAAAGGGTAAACCAGAGGTCTTTCCTTTACGGTGCCCCTCTCCACCAGGTGTATAAGTAGCTGCCGGTGAATTGGAAAAAAAGAACTTACTTTTTACAAATGACTATGTAATTCAAATGATCCATCCAGCCAAAAGACCTTTAGACTTAAAGCAAAATACTAGCCAGTGGCAAAGTGGTCTAAAACAATGATACTTACCGTCTCGAGGTTAGAGAGATATTGTACTGGAGGTGGTGGACATTGGGGGTGATGGGGGCTTGGGGGTGGGGGCATTGATGCAGACCTTTTGACAGCTGGGCTAAAGGTGGACTGGTCAACAGGTTCAAGACCTCTGACCCTGATGATCCAGGACATTTCGCGATTACTTGTACAACGGCCTTACCACTAAATCCGTCTCGCTAATTGCGCTGTCGTTGTCTGTTCATCAGGATCATGTCCACAGGGTTGGATAGGGTACAGTGGATCGTGTTACTTGCCTTATGTCCTCGGTAAAACGTGGCAGGAAGCTAATGAAACCTGCCAGGAAATGGATTCGCACTTGGCTCTGTCCAAGAGTGTGGATGAAAATGAATTCATAGCAGTAGAAGTGGGCAGACCAGAATCTCGTGTCTGGATAGGTCTTCGCCGAAGTGAAGGCGAGTTTGTGTGGAGTGACGGCAGTAAATCTGACTTTACAAACTGGGGCCGATTCGAGCCTAAGGATGCCTCTGTTGTTGGTCGAGATTGCGTAAGTCTGCTTCCTGAAGACATTTTTTATTCATGGGAAGTGAGGAACTGTGACGATCGACAAGCGTTTATTTGCGAAAGAGGTAAGAAGACTATTATATTCAATACCAAAGTAATTCAGACGTCAATCACAACAGGTGATGTATTCATCCATTGGTATGCTTGCGCGCGAAAAGATGATCTCTATCTGATTGCTTTCACATATCGACTATTCTTGTCCAAATTCCCATTTTATATTCTACTGACTTAACTGCTTTTTAGTCATGTCCGGCAACTATCTATATAGGCATTTCGACAATGTACTGAAAATACATTTCTGTGTTCGAACCTTGCTACTGAACAAGTTTAAATCATTAGCACATATTACTAAACCGATGTTGGTCTCTAGCTAACAGATAGAAAAGTCATTCATCTACACCGTGACCAGTGATTACTAAAATGCTTAGTTGAACATGCTAAGTTTTTGTTGCCATAGCACGAAAATTGAAAGTTGAGGTCTCGAGCGTTTGTCATCAAGGGACTATCTTTATCTTTTCTTCAAACTGTAACTTAACAGTCGAATGACCATGTTCACAACTGACGTCGGCGCAGTGACAGCGTCACTATTTAAAGGATTTTTAATGGTACTTTTGACTGGTGTAATAGAATTTGGCAATTGCTTTTATTGCCCAACATTGTTTCGACTTCCTAACAGAAGTACCCGGCAAACTCATTTCGAATACATATTAATTGAGGTTGTATGAGATTTTAAGAGATAGAGGTCTTTCTCGTTCTATTCCTCTCCTTCAAGAACAATCGATCAGTTTGTAGTCGTCCAGTTCGCGCTGTCACGCGATGCAAATAGGCAACTATATCGCGCAGAGACCAAGTCAAATATTTCTCCCAGGAAAGCTGCCTTCAGACAGTTATTACATTCTCCAAGTACATTGTCGTGGTATCGAAAAAATAATTTGGAGAGGATATTACGCAGTCGTGAGAAGATATGAGTTTTATGTTCGAGTGGGAAGAAAAATATCTCACCCCGTGCGCTGTGATCACTCCCCGGGCCCACTCGTGAGATATTGTTCAGGCTACAAGAACATCAGTTTCATATTTGCGACCTCACGTGTAATGATGTTTTTATTGTATGGACCATATGGCACATCATGGAGATACATGTTTGCAAATACCGGTATTTACAAATAGTGGCTCAATCAGCAATATAGCCGGTGCAATCAAGCAAAATAAATCTAAAGTAGTTTTAAAGGAGCTCAGTCACGGTATTTTGAGATATTTTGGCCACATGCAAAATTACCTTGTAATGGTAAGAAACCTGAAAATAACAGTTTAATAAGACAGGAAAACACCAAAGACATAATGATAAACCATAAGGGAACAAGGATGGCCAAGGATGGAGAAGATTGACACGGATTGCAAACGACGAATCTGAAAAATTGAGGCTAAGCTTTTCAATATGCACAAACCATGACTGAGCTCCTGTAAGTGCTGAACATTACATGGAATTCATAGTTACATTTTTTGCAGCTGGCAGTCGATTCTTTCAAAAAGAATGAGATGGATGAGGGCTTGTTATTCTTCTTGGAAACAGAGCACGAAACATTTGATGATTGCTTGCCTTTCCGCTGGCATAATATCCTCTATTTCTGTTTCTTGTTACGTTTCGATAAATTTCCTGAAAACCTTTCTGCATCGTTTTTCGTTTTCTTCGGTTTTCTCTATTCAGAAAACACAATCACTTCGTCGTCGCTGATACTAGCGGCCGTCATTATTCCGAACAACGAAAATGAAGCGGGAATTGTGACGTCATTTGCCGATACAGTCGAGCCTACGGTTACGACCACCTCTCGTAAGCGACCAGTTTTCCAAAATACTAAAAGTGTGCAAGTCAAATCACTATATATGGAACCTCTATTAAGCGACCNAGTCAATATGCTCTCTTCACAGATATTGACGAATGTTTTGACGGTCTGTTATGCGACATCAACGCGGACTGTGAGAACACAGCAGGTTCCTTCAATTGTTCATGCAAGAAAGGTTATACCGGGGATGGAGAAACATGCGAAGGTAAAACGCAAAACTTTCATTAAAACTGAAAGAGCTCTGTCTATCCACCCTAGTACAAATGTAGATCGTCAACCGAGTGCTCTATGCCCAGTTTCTTATTCGCACATCTCGTGACTTCATTGTTAAACAATTTGCTTAATCAGCATCAATATAATTATTTGAGAAGAAGAGACAAATGCCGTACTCGGAATGAGAATATTATTAGGGAGTTTAAGAAAACCACGACGGCAACGTCAACGGCAACGTCGCTAAACAAAAGGTTTAACTAGGAGAACAATGGCTGTGCACGTGCATTATAATTCTTGGTACATTTACTCGGCCGTCCTCAGCAAAGTGACAACATGAAATGGCCAAATTAATTCTGCGTTGTCTGGAGAACGTGAACCACGAAGCTAATTTTCAAAATTTTTATTTCAAATTTATCGCTGCATCCTAGATTCAGTTTCGTGATAGCTTTGACAGTGATAAACAAAGCAAATGACTTTAGGGTACCGCGAGATTCGCAGGTAAAATATAAACTCATTTTTTTCGACGTTGTTCTCGACGTCCTTATTGCCAGCCATAAAAACTAAGGTCTTGCTCTATCCTTGGTTTATTCAGTAACATTATTTCCTCGCTGATCTTTCAGTGTTGCTGTTATTAGAAGTCCTATAGTTGTTTTTTGTTGCTCTTTTAGCCGCAGTAAATGAATTTAAGAACCCGCTGAAGAACAGGCACCGAGTTCTTAAGAAAAGAGCATGTTTTTCTTTTCAGATGTCGACGAATGTGACACTAATCAGAATGAATGTCATACCAATGCCATCTGCACGAATACTGACAGCAGTTATGTTTGCCGCTGCTTAAAAGGTTATCAAGGAGATGGTCGGATATGTGAAGGTAACAGAGATAAAAACTACTTTGGTTAACATTTTTATCTGCCATACTGTAGTCAGACTCCGAGTTAGCTAATGTGCTTTTTACGTTAATGGCTGTGGTGAGACTCAATAGCGTGGCCATTCAAATAAAAGCTATGAGGAGTACTTGCATATGATACTGTTAACATTATTTTACTACTAAATGTTGAGGCTTTGGGCGAATTTCTAATGTGCGACCATTCAATAAAAGCTCTAATGAGCATTATTTCAATGTGATGCTGTCTACTATACGATGGGTTAAACACAAAGATTGGCCCATTCAAATAAAGGCTATTGAGGGATGCAAAATGTACGTGGTGTTGTTTTTTGTTTGCTTGAGCTCTTGCTATTGCAAACTGAGCCAGTACTAAGAAATACGAGTGACGGAAAAGAATCCACACGCCACAACCTTGAAAGGAGCGACCCATGCACAGTCTCACTAACAATTCACTTCACCATGTTGTTGGTTTCTCATTTTAGATGTCGACGAATGCGTTGATGGTTCGGCCGATTGTGGGACTGGAGCTGAGTGCATTAACTTAAATGGGACCTATGAATGCCAATGCCTGCTGGGATACCAGAAATCTGGGAACAACTGTACAGGTCGAGCACACATAACTTTACATATGATATGTTAAACATTTCCACGGGATAGCAAGAAAGACACTGTAGTACTCATAGGTTCTGGATATCGCTTTCTTCTTGCAGATATCAATGAATGTGAATCACCAGAGTCCAACAGTTGCGACATCAACGCTCTGTGTACAAATACAGAAGGCTCATATGTATGCCGCTGCAAAAGGGGATACGAAGGAGATGGAACGATTTGTAAAGGTAAATCCTTTTATACGCATTAGGTATGTAGAATATCTCACACCCTATCACGGCACCCATCTCATCTTAACAATTTCTCTTTAGACGTTGATGAATGTGCATCAGGGTCGGCAGAATGCGGGCCTGGAGCTGACTGTTTTAACCTAAATGGAAGTTTTGCTTGTCAATGCCGAGTTGGATTTGAGAAGATTGGTAACAACTGCACAGGTCAGACAAACTATATTCCACAATTGTACATTAATTAGTTATCAGAGGAACCTTTTTGTTACAACTACTAAGTGAGTGCTTATTTATATGCTCAGTTGGCGGGCTACAAAACGCGAGCTAGAAGCTAACATGAACAAGGTAAATTTAGGTACGTTTATGCCAAATCGTAATAGAAGCACTAGCTGAGTTTACGATTCTTGTCTTCTAATTTCTCAATCATTTACCATGCTACTTGGCAACTTCAATGACGTAACGCGCAGACTCGGTTACTGTCAGAGTTAGGATTTCTCCCAGAAACTGGCACTAGTACCCCACTTTGGAAAGGAATTGATTTTGAATGAGTGTTAACCCTTCATTGGAATTATTGTGGGTCAAAACGTCACCTCGAACGGGGAAGCAATCCCATACTTTTACCAAGTAATGTTATAAACTATGTACCTTCACCCTGGCCTTATCATGTTATTGCAGACATTGATGAATGTGAATCCGCCGTGTCCAACAATTGCAATGTAAACGCACTCTGCACAAACACAGAAGGCTCGTATGTCTGTCGCTGCCAGAGAGGATACGAAGGAGATGGAATCCTTTGCAACGGTACAATGTTATTATGTTATGTGATCATAGTGCACGGTGTAATGATACACTATGTAAGGCGACGCGTACTGTCTCCAGTAACGTTTGAACTGGCTATAATTGAGAACGGTCAAAAGAGGAGGTTCTGCAGGGTTATTGCAAGCAACAGCGGCGCTTTTAGTCGTGCAATGTTAAAAAGTGTGTGGTCAAGTTTAAAATTTAAAGGCTTACATTGGGTAGGCCAGGAAAAGATTCAGTTACCAACCTCTAAATCGATTCAGCCTTTCATGATTGAGGTTTTCCCTCTGTGTATATGCAGGGCGTAATATTTTTTTTCTTATTTCAGACGTAGACGAATGCGTTGCCGGCACAGCTGAGTGTGGGACTGGAGCTGAGTGTGCTAACTTAAACGGAAGCTTTGCTTGTCGATGTCTGGCGGGATTTCAGAAGTCTGGGAACGACTGTACAGGTCTGACAATAAGTACTTTTCATGCTTTTATTTACTTACAGTTTCAGCCCAAACTCAACTTATCCAGACCTTTACATATGTATATGTAGGAAATACAGTCAAATTTTATTTGGCATGCAAGTACTCTTCCGTTAAGGTTTCACGCGCAAGTTGCGAGACCGCGATCGCCCTTCAACTCTAGATCTTGCTACTGGCTTCGCCGCTTGTGTGTGTGACGCAAACGTAAGCCTGCTTTCGAACTTAAGTTTATACAAAGAAATGTATTATAAATCACGTGTGGTCAACTGAAATGAGTGGTTACTATCTCGTATGTTCATACCAAGATTCATTTTTTGCGACTTCTTTGTTTAACAAGAATCAGAATTTGCTTTCTACTTGATATCGAATTACAAAAGGAAACTTAACGTTATCATTTCCATTTTAGATATTGATGAATGTGAATCACTAGAGTCTAACGATTGCGATGCCAACGCGATGTGTACAAATACAGAGGGCTCATATGTCTGTCGCTGCAGAAGAGGATACGAAGGAGATGGAAGGTTCTGCTTAGGTAATTACAATTAGTTCCCTATTTCCAGGTTGATTTGCTTTGTAACTGCGGTAATGTAATTTTCATTAATATGCATAGCTTATTCACGGTTGCCGGTTTCGATTTTACACACAACGTATGTCATCGTTTTTTGCTTTGAATATCATGTTGTTTGCTTTATTGGATTGCTTATACGTCTGTAATCGATACTTGTGCAGAAGGGATGACCACAACGCCAGCTGCGTGTCTGGGCAAAGGGTATGCACGATGCCAAGTTCAACAGGGCGATCTCGAGCTTCAGGGATTTTAAGTTGTTGATAGGGGTGCAGTTTTCTTTTTTACTTTAGCTAAAAACAATTGTATTAACTCAATCCTCCGTTGGAAAAAAGATGGCGACTGGTACATTTACCCATAGTTCTTAGCGCACGAAAATCGTAACAACGTTCATAAGAACGTACAGAAGAGTGACAAAATCTTCAAACCTAGGCTACACAACGTCCTTAGTACAGGGACAAATACGGTAAAAATTTGGCTTTCTTAGTGCTTTATAGGCTGTGTTAGGTTCGCAAGGTATTGTGGTAAAATGTACAGCCGCCATCTTTTTTCCTACGGTGGATTCGAAATTGAACAACTGGCGGAATAGGCATACTCACGTTCTCGTTATTTCAGATGTCGACGAATGTTCTGTTGACATAGCCGCATGTGGGACTGGATCTGAATGTGTTAATTTAAACGGAACTTTTTCTTGTCAATGCCTGGTGGGATTTGAAAAGACTGGAAGCAACTGTACAGGTCTGATAAATTCAGTAAAGTTTACGTACATTTTACTTACCGTTGGAACCGAATAATTAGTGGTTGAATAAATTCAAATTAGTGGTTAATAGATATCCTTGTGTGTTTATTTCGCATGTTTTGGTTGGCGGTAAAAATTAGATCGGACGGACGATAGCTTGATGCACCTTACACTACAGACGTCAATCCTCAGTTCCAAATGTACTACTTGTATAAATACACCACTTTTGTCATTACCAAATTTTGAAATAGCAAATTGAAGTTTAAACATGTTCAATATGTGACATGCCAGTGGAGCTACACAGTCCAACATTCTTCAGTTTACACACTGAAAGAATAAGTCAGGTAAGAAACAAACAAACAAACGAATTGCAAAGAGTTAGGGACAAAACAGAAAATGTGCGAGTAGTTGCGAACGGCTAACTGTTGTTTAGACTCCTCGACAGAATTTTGCGATGGATCTCCATTATGGAGGGTGCTATCACCTACCATGGCTATGCCTAAAGGGTATTAGAGGTTGCACTCATGATAGTTATTATTGCAGATAAAGACGAATGCGAGTCTCCAGAATCAAACAATTGCGATGTAAACGCGCTCTGTACAAATACAGAAGGCTCGTATGTCTGTCGCTGCAGGAGTGGATACGAAGGAGATGGAATCCTTTGCGAAGGTAACTACCAATAATTTGGTATTAGCATTGTACTACATGGTTTGCTTTAGAATTAACTTGTAGTCTACAGGACCAACGTTTTTGGGGGGTTATTGTTTTAATGAGAACTAAGTAAAACGCGGCCCGCCCTTTTGTTTTCGCGGGTTCGCAAATGATCCCAGGACCGCAAATGATCCCGGAGCGCAAACGATCCCCAAATTGAACGGCAAATGGTCCCGGACCGGAAATGATCCCCATATTGGACCGCAAATGATCCTGATCAAAAAATAACGAATGGCATGGATGGTGGGATTGTGTGGATAGGGAATTGGCGTACGTGAATACCGATGTTTTTATTAAAGCCATCTTATAATTATAATGGCTTACAACTTGCTTTTTTTTCATACTTTCGACTAAATTTTGTTGCTAACTACGATGTTATGAATATCACTACTCAATCATCAAAACACGACTTGGCTTGTATTTCTTTGCAATTAATTCTCAGTAAAATTAAGATCAGTGCAACATACGCTACATATCCTCCTTTGTCAAACATTGATATTTCGGTGTAATAGTTAAATCACATTTTATCAGCAGTTAACGCCACTCGTCTAAAGTTTTAAACTAAAATCTAACCATGAAGTAACTATCACAGAAGACGCTGTCACCTGAGTAGACCCACAAGCCTACAACGCTTCATCACTCTGTAAAACACCAAGTGTGTAGCACTGGAAATTTGAGCAAATTTATTTTCTAATTTTTCCTTGGTCGTATTTTGGCTTTAATTCCTCGGAAATGACTATTTGAGTATTCTAAGAAGCCAAAATTCCAAGCTATATTTATGAAGTTCAGCTTCATGACCACGCAAGGCCAAGGCTTGCACTTCGTTTTGACAATCAGCTGTTTGATAGATGTGTTATACTATCGCCACCGGGGTTTCGAGAATGTTTACAAATATGTGTTTTTCTAAGACTGATAATTCAATAGATCGTCTTCACGTGACGTGTTTTTATCCTCATAAGGCATAAGAGGCGGTATATTTATATCTGTTTACAATTAGCGTGATTCGTTTGGAAACCAAAGCATTTTGAATTTCAGGGTTATGGAGGTTGCGTGACACAAGGCTAAGATCGAGTTTGTTGAAAAATATATACTTATCTCATGATTTTGAGCCTTTTTAGAAGTTAGATTATTAGGAAAAGTGCTTATGTAAATGCTTGTTTGTTTAGTACTGATGATTAGTCGCCTAGAAAGCCAAAGCAAGTTCCAGATGTTTACACTATATTCCGGCCGCCATATTGGTGTACCACGGATGTACACCAACATGGCGTTTTCTTACTGGGCTCTGTAAATTTCTGGGAAACATTTACGACGAATACCTGAAGTTTGGGGAAACGCACAGGCCTAAAACTTGGAGACGTGTCTTATTTAGATATCTTCTATAGCGTACATCACAATTTCTTAGCTTTTTCCATTGGTTGGTTTTCGATTTATTATTATTTTTTTTTATTGCGTGACAGTTAAAACATACCGTACCCTTCGAAGAACAAAACAGCAACTGTGGAGTATATTTTTTGTAAAATGATAAAATATGACTTTTAGTTCATAATTTTTGTACATGTTCTCACCTTCCTCTGATATAAATCCATGCCATTCCTTATTTTTTTGATCGGGATCATTTGCGGTCCAATATAGGGATCATTTTCGGTCCGGGATCATTTGCGGTTCAATTTGGGGATCATTTGCGGTCCGGGATCATTTGCGGTCCAGGGATCATTTGCGCACCCGTACAGTACATTGTGAAGCATGCTTTTCCTTTTAGCAATAAAACCGTCTTTTGTCTGCCATCCTAAATGTCAAGACAACGCTAAGTACAAGAACGTGACGAATACTCCTGTCTGCAAGTGCAAGGCGGGATTTACTGAGAATGGCATCACGTCCACAAGTTTGCAATGAGGCAATTCTTCACTACTTTGCTTTACGTCATTTCGCTTGAAATCTCAAATTCGTCTACGTGAATGCTCCTTGACTAGTCATGGCAACGCATCGGTTAATTTGCAACATTTGAATATATGCATTATTAAATTTTGTTAAAATTGAAAACGAAAGTCGACCTGATGATACATACCTACTGAACACTATTCACGATCATTTCTATTGCAGACATTGACGAGTGTGCATCATCAGACTCCAACAATTGCGATGTAAATGCACTGTGTACAAATACAGAAGGCTCGTATGTCTGTCGCTGCAAGAGGCGATACGAAGGAGATGGATTATACTGCAACGGTAATCACGTGATATCTGATCGGACTTCTTTAACTCTTTCCTCCTCATCTTGAATAACCTCTGCCTCCATTTGCCTCCATACGATTTCGCACTCGTATATAGCCTGAAAAGATATTTTCTCCACGTTAAAACTGTTTCCCTGTCATCAAAATTAAAGGCGAAGAGTGTTGCGCTCAATTTATTGTAAAATCCGGGCCAAAGGATAGCTTAAACCCTCGCTTTCGTCTGGCCCGAGACTCTGAAGAGCTCTCAGCGTTCTGGTCAATACAAGTGCGTTTTTCGCTCGAGTGAAAAACACCTGCCCAAACAACAGTTCTTGAAAGTCAACGCGGGGTTTTCTCGTTTGGTCCGCACTTGCTGGTTGTCTCTATCTTTCTCGTTTACCACGGGCTAAACCCTTTCCGTTGATTACCGATTCTACACACAGTTACTGCAGCCTTGTAGTGACATTTTGAGGTTGTAGAAGCGTATTGCCAATTTTTTATTATCTTTTTTTTTTTGCCAGTGTCCGTTCCAACTCTTGTCTGTGATCCCGAGTGTGACGTGAACGCTGAATGCAAAGACTTTTCTGGTACTGCTGGCTGCATGTGTAAGGCAGGATTTGACGGCGACGGAGTAACTTGTACAGGTTAGTAAACACTTGGAATTTCAAGTAATAACATGATTTCAGTGAGAGATATCTTAATGGTGCCTATCAAGAAATGCCAAGCCTGAAAAAAAAAAAAACATGTAAATAAAATGTTTGGATTGACAGACTCTAGTTCCTGAAAAATAATGAACTTTTCACTTCAGATGTTGACGAATGCGATTCTCCAGGCGCAAATCAATGCCACGAAAATGCGATGTGTACAAATACCGAAGGCTCTTATGTTTGCCGTTGCAAGAAAGGATTTCAGGGAAATGGATTTACATGTACACGTGAGTAAATGTTGATGGAACTCGATAATGCTTGCATACGACGGCCGGTTAAAATTTTCCATCTTCTCTTGTAGCGAAAGTGCCTCCATTTGTCTGCAATCCCAAGTGTGATGATAACGCTGACTGCAAAAACTTCACCGGTACTCCTAGCTGCATGTGCAAGGCGGGCTTTGATGGGGACGGTATCACTTGCACAGGTTGGTTAACATCTGTGGTGGTGAAATAGTTTCTCTAAGCGAGGTGTTGATGTGTTCAGTCCTAACAAGAAAAGACCATACTTCGAAGCTACAGAGGGGCGGCAGGGAATGATTAAATTTTCAATACAGTTCGCTTACGGAACTTTTTCCCTCAGATTTTGACGAATGCAGTTCTTCAGGTGGTAATCAATGTCATCAAGATGCAATGTGCACAAATACAGAAGGCTCTTACGTCTGCCGCTGTAAAAAAGGATTTGTAGGCAATGGATTCTCGTGTGCACGTGAGTAACTCGTAAGTTTAGGTGGCCCTTTTCGTTAGTCATTCTTGAGTCCCAATAGTATCCTGTTATTTGTTGGGTACTGTTTCAAAACAGTTCTTTTTTGACGAATTTGGCTCCTCAAAATCTCTCTCAAACTGTTGACAAGTGTCCCTTTTAATTTTGCTGATGGAGACTACTTCAAAGCAATGACGAGTTAAGTTTTCTTTTTGTTCCCCAGGGGAAGAGCCCTCTTTTATCTGCGATCCCCAATGTGACGTCAACGCTGATTGCAAGAACTTTACTGGAACCCCAGAATGCATGTGCAAGGCGGGATTTGATGGAAGTGGAATTACATGCACGGGTAAGTCAAAGCGTATGTTACAAGTTATACGACAAATCGCCTCTTGGATATTAATAGGAAGACATATAATAAGCTGTCAAAGCAAGAATCCAACTCTTTTAGGGTCAAGGACTGATTCTTAAACTTTCTTGTTGTAACGTTTGCAGATGTTGATGAATGTTCCCTTCCTGGTGGTAGTGTATGTGACCCCGACGCTCTGTGTACAAACACTGAAGGATCCTACATCTGCCGCTGTTTACGAGGTTTTGAAGGAGATGGCAGAAACTGTACAGGTAAAGTTTCATTTGTATCTTGGTACTTTAGTTATTGTAGTCTTATCGTAATTCGGCAAGCAAAACTGCTAACAGTCGATCTCTTGCAGATGTTGATGAATGCGCAAGTTCTGACGGAAATACCTGTGACGTGGATGCAATGTGTACCAACACTGAGGGCTCTTACGTTTGTCGCTGCCTAAGAGGCTTTACTGGAGACGGAAAGTCTTGTAGTGGTAACTTCCGAGGAAATCTAACTATAATTAAATGACCATTAGTGCTTTTCGCTTAAACCGTTCTTCTCCTGAGCGATTCATAAGGGTGGGAGGCTTTTGATTTGGCGCACATATTTGCATGCAGGAATCTGCGATCAGTCGTTCTTTTTTCTCCCTTCCGCTAAGAAAAAAGAGCACCTCACCGCAGGTTATGTATCCAATGGCGAACAGGACAGAAGAAAGATCCCCTTACTCTTAGCATATTCAATTCATGCATATACAGTCGTTTTAGTGGAGTGGTGAATATTTCGATTATTTATGCTCAATTGAGTCTCGAAATATGTGCCAGCTCCCCTAGTCCATTGAATGGTCTACTTGTAGTACAACGTCGGTTACGTCCATCCGGTTAACAGTACCGGTTTCTTGACAAATATTCGTAAATGCACTCGAGGAGTCAGAAATAGCCCTATGACTCCAAACGTGGTCACTTAAGCTTGGTCCCATTAGGGTGTACACTTCATTTTGCCTAACAATCCCCCTTTTCCCGGCTCAAAGACATCGGATCCGTGAACTCTACAATATAAAAGAAATGAGTGTTTTCCCTACGAGTATGATGAATACTCTGATTGTACTTTTGACCATTTTCCTCAGCTGTTGACGTGGGGGCTTGCAATCCCCCTTGCACTGGAAACAAGGTGTGTCAGAATTTCAGTGGAGATCCCGAATGTGTCTGTGCAGATGGTTTTAGTGGTGAAGACAATTGTACAGGTATATTGGACAACATCAGTTGTTATGATCATCTTGGAAATAAAACCATGCTTTGTCAGAATTAGAGCGGAGCTCTTGATTACCGGTTTCCCGTACAGCTACTATAGCCAGTAGAGAGAGATTAATAAGCAATTAGTTTATGACTTACGGATACTTTCAACAAATCCAATTGTCAATGGTCAATCACTTAGTACGTTTCTTGGTAATTAACGATAATAGTATGCTTTGGCTTTATTGTTTTGAGCGAATGGTTGAAGCATTTGCAGAACATAAAATGTCAATGAAAAAGTGAAATCCACCCTACTACCTGGTAGACAAACATGTTTCAGTAGAGAAACCCCCCGTTCTTAAATTGTGAGATGAAATTATGAACACTGCCCTTCGTTTTAAATCCGAAGCAAACGATTCCGGCCAAAATATTGCTCCTTTGAGCATTACGTATTCCTAATTTAAGATGGATGTAAGAGTTTCATTTTCGTGCTGATAGAAACCGCAGTTGAATAGTGATATTACGATTAATTACGATTTGCCATAATTTATTTTCATTGCATTTTAAGAGTATGTTTTGTTTAATTTACTTTAGATATCGATGAATGTGCTGATGACGAAAACGACTGTGACACTAATGCGCTGTGTACCAACACTGAGGGGTCATACATTTGTCGCTGTCTAAGAGGATATGAAGGCGATGGTAGAAACTGTGTAGGTATGTGTCATTTGCTTGCTGAGTCTTCTTGTATCTATCATTTGAGAAAAAAAATATATTAGTTTGTGTATTGAACATGTTGCATTCTTTGCAGCCATCACGCCAAGCTGTTCTCCATCATGTGGTGCGAATGCGTTCTGCCAGGAAGGTGTTTGTGTTTGTAATGTTGGTTACCTAGGTGACGGATACAACTGCACAGGTTTGAATGACAGGCATATTTGCCTTTCTTGCCTAATTTTTGATACCAATTACTTTGAAGCGACTAACCAAGATCAATATTAAGGTAACCTCTTCTCCAATCCGGCGATTTCCCTGAGACAAATGAATGTGATCCTAATGCCTTGTGTAACAACACCGAAGGATCCTACATCTGTCGCTGTACTCGAGGATACGAAGGAGATGGTAGGATCTGCACAGGTAAAACTGCTAATATCTCTTAAGCTTGTTAGCTCAAGGGCTTTTGCTTACTAGCTGTCTACGTGCCTTGGGACTTAGAGAAGCAGTTTTGTCATGTTTGTGCACTGTAGATACAGATGAATGCTCATCAGCTACATTTTTTCCAAAGGTGCTAGAAAATCATTCTAAGATTAATATGCTTTCTCTTCCAAGGGATGGTCGATTTTGCGCGGGTAAAACTCCCACAGCCACGCTAACGTGGCTAGTATGATAAGGTCCAGTAAAATGAAATTGGCACCCTTTTCTATTATTATTTTTTCGCTACAGATGCTGATGAATGTGCAAGTCCTGAAACAAACAGTTGTCACTCAAACGCCATGTGTACCAACTCTGAGGGCTCTTATGTTTGTCGCTGTCTAAAAGGATACGGTGGAGATGGGAGAAACTGTACAGGTAAAATTGATAGGGGTACCTCTTCTCCACACTTCTGGCAGCGGGTTGTGGTTTTCCTCTGTCGCCAAGTTGGAGAGGACGAACTATAACATACGTGACCATAAGACCTGAGTACGAGCACGAAAATTTAGTACGAGTATGACTTTCCCAAGCTAGTGCTTAGGCTTTCGATTATCAATTGTCACAGTCTCCTGTTCAACTGGTCAGCAACAGGGAGAAGAGAAGGCTTTGGTAACTGGTTTGAAATTCTAACGTCGTAACCAGATTAGATCCCGTACTACTACCTGAAGGTTCCTATAAACAACATAGGAGAAAAAGTTGTTTACATATAAAAAGGTTCCTTCAGTAACAACATAGAAGAAGAAGTTTGTTTATATATAACTCTATTTGTAGATATTGATGAGTGCGGAACTCCGGCGACAATCGAATGTGATCCAAACTCCATGTGCACCAACACGGAAGGCTCGTATGTCTGTCGCTGTTTTAAAGGATATGAGGGTGATGGACGGACATGTACAGGTATCTGAATACTGTTATGAAATCGATAAATCAAACATTATGGCATGATTTTCAAGTTATAATTCATATTCGATGATGAGTTTGCTTCACTTTTGCAGCATGAAACATTTATAATCTTTTTGTGCAAATTTTCCTGCATGACGCCAAACATTTGCAGGCGAAGTGGATAGTCTTTTATTGTCAACTTTGGTCATTATTGTAATAGTTCTTTCGAAAAAACCTGCTCTTACGTTCTTCCTCCTGTTGGCAGACGTTGATGAATGTGCGAGCCCCGAATTAAACGAGTGTGATCCCAACGCCATGTGTACTAACACTGAAGGATCCTATGTCTGTCGCTGTATAAAGAATTTCGAGGGTGATGGTAGAAACTGCACAGGTAAAACTTGTATCGTAATTTCGCTGTCTCTAATGTTAGTTATCATGAGTAATTTTAAGAGTGCCTGCCTGTAAAAATCAGACAAATTCTTACTTTTGCGGTAAGGGTCGATTTCGCTGATATTCCTATGGTAGATAGGCTAGCGCATGACAACAACTACTGGATAGTTTTTTTTTGGCAAAATATCCTTTTATTTCAAAGAAATATGCAAATTACCAAATTCCGTTAAAATCGTCATTTGACGCACCATTTT